ACAGCATGTACTCTGTGCAAGTTACAACACAAGGCCCGGATGCCAGGGGAGAGGGACTCAGAGCAGCCAGCTTCTAGAAGAGAGCCACAGCTGCAGGGAAAGGCCGTCACCAGGACGTCCATTCCTGCGGCTTCAGCCTGCGTCCGCGGCAACCACACAGAGTGACCTCAGCCCCGATGGCCCCTGCCTGGCCTGAAGGGCAGAGGACTGGGTTCGGGGCAGACACAGCCTCAGAAAGTGAGTGGAGAATCCAGGAGCAGAAAAAGCCAGGAAGGGGGACACTCAAATCCCGTGGCTACATCCACCCGACCAGATTCACCAGCCCGCGGAGTTCTGCTCCTCCAGGACTCTGTCAAGAAAACAAAGAGGCCAGCTGTGGACTGACGGACAACATGCATCTGGGGAGGGGTCCGTGTCCAGAATAAAGGTCTTTACAACCCCAAAAATAAGACAAGCCATTTAAAAACGAGAAAAGTATTTGAACTGATGTTTCACAAAGGCTGGCACATAATCATCCAAAAAGCACGGGCGCAAACACTTGGTATCACCTACCTCAGCTGGAAGAGCGATACGGACACAACGGACTGGACGTGACGTGCGGATCAGGGGGTTCTAGCAAGTCCTGTCAGCATGAGATTTCGTGGTTTTGCTGATCACACAGTGGTTCCATAGGAGAATGTCCTTGTTTTTATAAAGTATACTCTGAAATATTTAGGTGTATCTTACACTCAAATGATTCTGAAAAAAGTAGCTACTGACTTACCATAGCCCGCCCCATCTGTGGTTCCACTCTCTACGGTACAGCTACCACAGCTGAGAGAAAACCCTCCAAAGGTCCGAGCTACCTCAGTCCAGATTCTGTCTAAGTCGGCATGACCGTACGTACACTTTGTTCAAACCCAAAACCCGCCTTACGGCCCCACCCCCCACGCATCGTGCACCTGCTTTGTGAACGAGTGAGCTGAAGGGAAGCCATCTTGCCAACGCCCCTGCTCCCCGCGTTCCTTTATGGCAAAACTCCTGATTCCTGCCGATATGCTAATCTGTAATCTCCTGGGCTTTCACAAGATGCAAAACAAAAAGAAAAAAAGAAAAAAGTATATAACCATAAAAACTGTTCATTCTCCGGAGTACTTTCTTCCCTATGAAGAGCAAGTTTCCCGGATGGCTGCCCTAACTGGGCTTGAAGAAAACTGTTTCTTTCTTTGAGAGATTCTGAAAGATTTGTTCGTTTTGTGTCGACACAGACAACTGACAACCACCATCCAGAAGCCGGTGATGTCGCGCGGAAGGTCAGAAGGAGCCTCACCCTAGGTCACGAGATCTCTGTCACTCACCTCACTTGGCCTCGTCCCGCGAGCATCTTTTATCTCCCGTCGTCGCCAGAAGGGTGAGCTCAGGGCAGTGAGATGCTGCGTGAGACGGAGACCTCACTCCTGGAACTCCCATCACGGCATTTGTTAGAATTGTTCCATGTTACTATTAGTTACTGTTGCCAATCCCTTACCGCTCCTGATTCGTAAATTAAACTTTATTATATGTATGTATGCATAGAAGGACACGTAGTCTGGACAGAGTTCTGTACTACCCGTGGTTTCAGGCATCCCCAGAGTCTGGGAACATACAGCCCGTGGATAAGAGTCACTACAGACCAGCGTATATACACTTACACACAAATTCTGTTCTTTCTCTCCCTTTCACACTCTCTTTCCAAAGCAAATAGAGCAAGATAGAAATGATTCCGAGTCTGGGAAAGAACATACAAGTTCCTTTTACTGTTCTTGCAACTTTTCTGTGAGATCGAAATTATATAAAAATGAATTACAAAACATCAAAACCACTGGGAAAAGGTAATGAAATTTTCAAGGACTGATGGGATTATGTCAAAAGGACCGGAAGCAAGTAGGAGGAGTTCCAGTGGCCGGAGCTGTCCCTTTCAGCATGATAAAGCCGGATCACAGAAAGAAACACATTGAACGGATGAAAATCCGTGAGGCCATGAGCACCGGCCATAAAAGAGAGATCCAGGACAGACCAACGTGCCACCATTTGGAGCGTCCATTAAACTAACATCCTGCTTTTAAAATTATTCAAGAGAAGGAAAGAAATTTATCCCGTCTTCCCTGGAGGACCGTATTTCATGGGAACCAAATCAGTCCACACTTTCCTACCTAACAAACATAGAAGGGACAGTAGACTTAGAAAAACCATTGTTTAACCATAATCATAACTATTACATTTATGGTCCCAAAGATTTCAGGTCCTAATCCCTGGAATCTGTCAATCTTGCTTATTCAGAAAAAGGGTCTTCGCAGGTGCGATTAAACCAAGGGTCCTGAGATGGGGAGATGGATTGTCCAATCTCCAGGGCCTTTATGAGAGAGGCAGAAAGGAGGTGTGGTGACACAGCAGAAGAGGCATCAGGTGGTCACTGAGGCCACCAGAAGCTGCAGGGACAGGTCCTCCCTCCAGCTCCTGGGCTCACACAGCCCTACATAGCCTCCAGTTTGGGCTTCAGCCTCCAGAACGAGTCGCTCCGTTTATAGTATCTCACGACAGCAGCCCCAGGAAACTGACACCGCAATGAAATGGACTCAGACTCCACGTGGCCAGGAGGCACGGGGGTCAGTGTGGATGGGAGTTCGGAGGCTTGTACAGCGGCAAGGCAGCGTACACGCCACTTTTAGTCGCGCGGGACACATGCAGCCCAGACATGCTGCTGCTCCTGATCTGATCCAGTAGGAAGTACACAGCGCGCAATACGGAGAATTCAGTCAGCCGTTCACAAATGGGGATTCCACCAAGCCTCTCAGCGTGACTTCCAGAAACAGGAAATATAGGGGATAGCGGGACAACCTGAGACAGCCCGGACCATCCAGGAGCTGTGACATTCTGCGGGCCATGGCTCGCTCTTGCAAACCAGCCACGAGGGAGGGAATCCTCCCGATAAAGGGCGTGAAGCCCCCCCAGCCCGAGGCCCTTCCACACCCGGACCGTGTGCCTCACACAGCGTGCTTCAGCGTAACCACCACGGTCCCCTGTCCCTTCTCCCTCTGAGGCACTGGCACACCTGTCCCCTTGTGATGCTGGGCCCCGGAGCCAACACGGGCACTCTCACAGCACACTAAGGGAGCGCCAAGTAAGTTGCATTGGGGACGGTTTCGGCAGTGTGGGTTTCTGGGAAATGTGCAGCTTCCTGATTCGTCATCATTTCCACAGGTCGTTCGGTTCTTGTTAGCTGCTCTGGAAGAGCGTCCAGAAATACGCCCGCAACCCATTTTGGTGACTTGCCCAGCACTCCGGCACCCAGGTATGGGGTCTGTGGGTCAGATCTCCACCTGCCCTTGTCTCGCAGCTCAAACACCACATCTGCGGGCCTAGAGGGACGAGGTTTGAGCAGCACAGCGCCAGGCTCTTGTCTGTGGACACTACTTCAATCACCAGACACATGGGGTTGGACTCTCCTGTCAGGATCCACCAAGGGTCCATTGAGTACAATATCGGACGCAAATCACGCGCAGTAGGATTTTGCCAGATGGCACGCTGGGAGCGCACAACCCCGACGCAGTTTCGTGAACCCCAAGATGTGGGGTGTGAAGGTCAATGTTCTGTCCCCTCAGTGGCCAGTGGTTATAAGCCGCAGTAAAGGAACAACTGTGAGGACTTCCCCAAAACTCCCTGCAGGAGGTCGTGCAAAATTATTATCGTAAGGAGAGGCAGGCAAAGAGTGTGTGGCCAAAAGCAATGTCGGAGCCGTGTTAGATCATCAGCGATCTGGTAGTTACCTAGATGTGCTCTTTGTGGATTCGCCAGCTCTGTGGTTTGGAATTGTATTTGGAATTTCTTATTCTAAAATAGTATCCGCCTTAATGCGATTTCATATTCATGGTGTCCTGTGTGCTTTTGTAAACAGGTCCGGACACCATGTTCACGATGTGATGTTCTTAAAAAGGCCCCATGTTTTGGGACCTCGTGACCATAGACACAGCACGTGACGCTGGACACGCCAACTACAGAGACCGTTCTGGGCTGAACTGAAGACACCGACCTCCAAGCGACTCTGGGGATAGAGGAGGATGGGGGACGTGAAGCTGGGGAGATGGGAGACGGGGGGAGGGGCTCCTCCAGAGCCGCGAGTCTTCAGGGTGGTGCAGGGCCACCGAGGAGGGGCCTGGACAGCGTTAGCCCCTCCCGCCACCCCCCACAGGAGGACCTGAAGAAGGTGCACCACTGACAAGGTCAGAGCCATGTCTGTGGGCAGCCCTGCCCTCAACCATCCGCAGGGACCCCCGAAATCCACGCTGGGAGGCTGAAGCCGTAGAACAGGCAGGAGGGCCCCCTCCAACAGCAGCTGGTGGTTACTTGCCTGAGCCCAAAGTTTATTTTTTTAAGACTTTAGTTATTTATTTGAGAGAGAGAGCCCTTGTGCCAGGGTGGGGGGCAGGGGGGGAGGGAGGAGCAGAGGGATAAACAGACTCTACACTGAGCATAGAGCCCAACTCAGGGCTGAACCCCACAACCCCAAGGTCGCGACTGGAGCTGAAATCAAGAGTCAGATGCCCGACCCGCGGCGCACCCCCTCCCTGCGCCCCACCCTAAGTCTATTCACCGCGGCGTTTTGGGCACAGGATTGCTTTCTAGGTGTCTCCGTGGCTCTCCCGAGGGAGGTTAGAGAGAGCAGCTTTGGCGAGTAGTCACTGTACGTGCTCAGCCAGAAGTCCACCTCCGTGAACCGCCTTCTGCGGAGTCAGGGGCGTGTGACCCCGTCCTTTATCCCAGGAGAAAACAGGGCTGCACCACCGCAGCCCGGTAACCCAGAGAGGCCCAGCTTAAAGACCCCGCAGAGGCTCATCCTTAAACAAAGGAGAAGGGAGACATTTATTCGTACCGTGCACTACTTAACAACTGATAAGAAAAGATTAATAACAGATTAGCATCAGAGGGCCCTATAACAGAGCGTTTCTGTGACACAATCTCCTATCCTTCCCGCTCGCTTCCGCTCACTCCGGTGGCTCTGACTGTTTATTTTCTTCTTCTTCAAAACTAACAATTCCTGCGGGGAGAAAAGAAGCACGAGTATAGTCCACACTCCTTTTTTCTATGCTGAAATGCTGTGCTAACAGATCTTTTGCAATGAATAATATTATAAATATTAAGCTTTTATCAGGCAAAAAAATACCATGTTAAATTTTATCTTATACCGACTTTCATGGTTTTTCTTTGGTACCAGTGTTAGGAGTGAGTTGGCCAGTTAGGGAATCGGGGCCAGGGTCCCCAGCAAGAAAATACGGAGTCAGGACGGCCAAGATCACACGGCACTGACACCCCGTTTTGCAGCTTAGACAGGACCAGACATTCTGCTTCGTGGCCTCTGCTGAAGTGATTTTGGCAAAATGTCCTGAAATAAGACCGTTAACCCCAAAGCATTTGTCAATATCACAGGCAAGGGGCAGCGAAAACCTAAAACCCCAAATGTCAGCAAAAAAAAGATCAACACGCAGATATCATCCTAATAGTCGGACAGATACGCAACCAGAGCCCTGACGGGCACGACTCAGCTCACCCTGATTGCTTAAGATCATTCCGCAAAAGAGTGCCCCAAAACCCCTAGACTTAGAAACTCCCAGGGCGACTCTGCCGGGCCCCTCCCTCTCCGAGAGATTTATACTCTCGCTCGATAAACTTTGCTTGCTGCCCCCACTGCTCCGTCCGGTCGACCCTTTCATCCTTCGAGGCAGCGTGACCAAGAACCACAGACGCTAAGGGGATAAAAAAAATCCTGTGACACCAGCAATAAACGGAGCAGAAGATAAACCCAAAGTCGAGGCTGAGAATATTCCGGTGAGGGTGAGCTCAGGAACCATCCCTGCCAGCACACGCGGTCCAAACACGACCAGCTCTGCGAACGTGGGGCTTCGCGGCTCGGCCCTCACATCCGTACAAAGGAAGGCAAGGACTTGCTACCTTCTAGGAAGGTGCTCCCTTAAAAGCGCCATGGAATTGAGAGCTATTTTTTGTTGTAAGTAAGCGCTATAACCCTCGCTGCGGGCGATGAAAAGAGGTTGGTAGGCTGACCCTCCACCGTGATGCAGGAATCGGGTTAGATCTTAAGTTTTTGTCACTGGCATGAAATATTTGCCTACGAGGCCCATTGCTTACCGCAGCCCGTTGCTCGTTTAAGGCGCTCTGACATTTTGGCATCTACCCGGGAAGGTGTGGGTAGCACCGTCCCTCCCCTCCCCTCTCTGCCCTGCTCTCAGGAATACTGACGCTGCCGTACTTGCTCCGTGCACGTTCTGTGCACAGCAGTCAGCGGTGGTCACACGGTTCCCTCTGCAGGCACACGGCAGGCCCACGGCTGTCATTCTGCAGACACACGGCGGTCACACGAGTGGGCACACGGCGGGCACATGGTGGGCACACGAGTGGGCACACAGCAGGCACACAGCAGTCAAGCGAACGATTCTCCACACACTGTCAGGCCCTAGGTCTCGCCCAGGGCCCCCTGGTGGGGCAAGCACAGTGTCCCCCCACCACCAGACGTGCTCAGGATTAGCCACAGCCTCCCCGCACGGGGCATCCCCATGCCATTTCCGTGCTCGGCAGATGAGGGCCTCCTCCAACCTCACAAACCTCAGGACCCTGGGCACAAATGCAGGATGCGGGGGGTACAAGCAGGAGGCCCCCCGGCTGCCAACGGGCATGCCTGGCGTAGGCCTCCCGCGCTCTAAGCCACAGGCTGCCCCCAGCCGCAAGCACGGGCTTCTCTGGTGCACTACAGTGGTGGTTCGTCTCACTTGCCAACCAAAGCCTGACCCTATGTGCACCCAACCCATGGGGATGGAAACCTGTTTTACCAGGAGTTCATTATTACAGAGATTGTCTTCAAAAAAAATAAATAAATGGGGAGTACAGGTCTTCCCAAAAAAAGGCATTTGCTCTATATTTGCGATAGAGACAAACGAACCTGCATGGGGTCCCTGGCCCAGCAACCACCATCTGGAGCCAGCGGTTCCCAGACCACTGGGTCCTGCACCACTGAGATGCCCGCCTTAAACCAGACACAAGGAACTGAGTTCCAAGAAGAAAGCCCTCTCTGAACTTCTGGGGCTGCCCACAGCACCTTGTCAAAGGCTCTAGGAACCTGAAGCCCCAACAGCCTGACAGTCACATCCCTGGCCTGTGACCTGCGGACACAGAAGCTTCGAGATTAACGGTCCCTTCAAACCCATTTGAAAGGGGCTGATTCCCAGCACCACTGGCCACTGATCAGACTGCTGGGATCCCACCATGGTAAAAATCAGGTAAAAAGAAAAAGAAAAAAAGGAAGCAGCATTCTAAATCTCTAGAAAGACCCTTCAGCCTGAGGCTGCTCTTTTGGTAAAAATGGAGAAAATTAGCTCACGACGGACAGCGAGAGACCCCACAGGGCTGCAGGCTGTCCCCGCCACCGACAGGGGGTTGGTCGGGGCGCCTGAGAGTGGGACATCCCACGGCCCCGCAGGAGTCCTCAGCCGGCCCCTGAGATCTCATCCCAGTCCCCGGGGCAGCCCACGGAGGCCAAGGTCAAAGACAGGAGAACCCGAGAGCCCTTCCCAGGGTGCGCCCTCCTCCTCCCTGGGCCCGAGAGCGTGCTCACCCTGGTCAACGGTGTCATAGCGGAAGTCCTCTCGGCCCTCCTCCCTGCTGCCTTCTCCATCGTCCTCCCCAGGCCTCATGGAGTCGGTCTCCCCCTCGGAACCATCGGCCAGAGCCTGGCCCTCCTCCGAGGGCTCCCCGCCGCCTGAGATGAAGCCACAGGAAACACTGCCACGTGGCCTGCGGGCCTGGGTCTCAGGCAGCTGCTTCCTCACCTGCCAGCGCCCACTCCCTCCTGCCCGCCACCCGCTCTGGGGACCCCACTCCCGCTTGACATCACCCAATCAGGTCCAGACCTGGAGCACCCATCCCCCATCTCGGCAAGGGGCTCGGTGGGGAAGGGTGGCCTACTTCCCACTGAGAAGCCACTGTCTGTTCCCCAGGGTTCCAGAGCTGACGGGGGCAATTTGATGTAGTCGACGAACATTGCTCCCCGAAGCGAAGGGGATGCCCACAAGCAGACCAGGGAGGGGAGGCCTGACCCTGCCGTGCCTGAGGCTGTCCCCTCCCTGGCTGTCCTCTCCAGCCGTCGGAACTCCAACGCATTAGGATCCGTGCCCCGTGCAAACTTCTCCAACGGCCCATGGCGCCTTGGCTACTTCTCGGGAAGAGCACGGGGAAGGGGACGGTCAGCTACTGCCACCCCCTCTTCAGGAAGGACTTGTCACCTGGCTGCTCGTGGTCCTGGCCCGAGCTCACACCCACAGCCAGTCCCAACCCAGGGCGGTGGGCTTTTGGTCCAGGCTTCCCATGGAACCAACCAGGTGGTCCGTCCAGCCAGTCATCCCACCTCCCCCCTCTCCTTCCACCCCCAGGAGGCCCCAACCCCCCAGGCTACCCCCCGACATTTTCATGCACACAAAACAGGCCCAGAGTTCCAGGCCCACAAAGGGGGTACCCAGGGCCAGCATCCCGGAGGCGCCCCGTACCTTCGGTTTCCAGAGCCTCTTCTGCACCAGGCCCGTCCGCAGGGGGCTGCTCCTCAGGGAGGGTCGGGGTCCACAGAGCCAGCTCTGTGATTTTGGTGGCTTTCCACCTCGGAACCACGGTCATCATTGTCGTCTCCTCCTCCTCTTCCTCTTCTCCTCTTTCCTGTTGGTAAGTTTAAAAACAAAATTACAGGCATGTGTGTAGACTCGGTGTGGGATGCTTACCGCGAGGGGACATTCGGCCACCGTGACAGCACGGCTCGGTGGTCAGGCCAGTGGTCAGCCGTCCCTGGTGTGATCTGGGCTCCAAGGTGGGTCTTGGAAGCACTAGGCTGAGGCACAGACAGGCATCGCCGCACGGCGCCCACCCGTGCGCTCCCGCTCTGCTGTGAATGGCTTCCAGACTTGACCTTCCCGCCTTCTGGAGCCCTCAAGAAATAACAGAGACTGGGTGTGGCTTTCAGTTTGCTCGGTCACATTTTCCCGATCACAGCTTCTTTAGTACAATAGCTAGCATCCCGTCCCTGAGAGGAAAGGACTGGGAGCATTCTAAGACGACCAGACAGCGTGGAAGGGCCTGAACACTAAGCATCTAGAACCAAGGACTATGGGGGGAAATGGAGTCCCGTGACAGCCGAGGGAGAACTGATCACCTCTACATGTGGGCTCTTCTGTAAGAGCGTAATTCCGGCCGTCCAGCAGCCGGCATATGCCCACCGGACGGAGCGTCCCAGCCTGTTCCCCGGTTTTGTATCTGTCACACATTTCCAAAGATCCGAATATCAATAAACCGGGAAGTGTCACTGTTACACAGAGGATAGTACGTATGACCACGTGGGACAGAGACCTGCCTGTCACTTCCACTGAGTCACTCAGAGCCAGATGGCTTGGTTTCCAAGTTTCCAAGCTCCATCCCCCCCGAAGGGGGACGCCAGTGCTCTAGGCCTGCACCAGAGTCCCCGGGGGGCTTGTGAAGACACGGGTGGGACCTCCTGTGTCGGGATGTCGGGGGTGGGGCCCTACCACCTGCGTTTCTAGCAGTCATTAGATCTCAGATCTCCCATCTTCCGTGCGCTGTGACACCTGGTTTCTGTGCTTATCACAGCCCCGGGTGTCATCCCAGAAAGTCCAAGTGCAGCCCTAGACCAAGGCCCCCAGGCTGTGCGTTCCTCCCCAGCCTTATTCCTGAACAGGGGCAGTTCTGGGGGCTTGTGGCAATATCTCCCCACCTTCAGTGTTAGGGTGTTCTTTCTACTTTCTCCCCAGCATCCTGAAATTCTGACTTCTAAGAACTTTTCCCCAAACAGAACAAAACTGCCCACTCCCCGAATCACAATAAGGGCTCAGTCACTGAGACAGCAAGGGACAGATTTGGGGGGCAGTTGGAGCCGTGTAATAAGTTGAGCCGGCAGGTCCCTTCAGGGGCCCGTGAGGGGTTTCCAGCCCCAGGAGAGCCCAGCAAGGACTCAGTCCATCGCTGTCCGATCTCACAATACAGCACGCAGCTCAGCTGTGCTGCAGTTCTAGACCACGCTTGCCGAGGGCACAGCGCAGACAGGGATGTGGGGAGCTGTGGCCCGCAGGGGGTGACACGTCAGATTTCTCCAGATGCCTCGGCTTCTGGGAGCCCCTTCCCTCAGTCACTGCACGTCCCGGGGTCCGGGCCGAAACGATGCTGGGGCTGGGGTTGGGCCTATTGTTAGCAACAAAATCAAGCATTTGGGACGCTTCAAACTGGGTAGTTTGCCAGGAAACTGACCCTTGCCGCAATCCGCGGCCCCTGGTCTAAAGGGATGGTAAACATGAGTAGGGAGCATGAGGCCGGGGGCCGGTCACCGTGAGCCCGCGGAGGATTCTGGCCACTGCCAAGGCCGTGGATAGTCACTCTACAGAACAAAGAGCCTCTGGCACAGTGATCTGAGGGGAGCCGGAAAAGAGGGACCGAGGGCAGGCCTGGGTGTGGGGTGTCCTGGCGGGATGTGCCTGGGGGTGACGCCAGGGAGGAAGGAGGTGCCAAGGTATTTTATGAAATCGCCTGTAGATCAGGAGATGATGACAAGAAATCCACCGGCACGTACGCACACACATGCAGGCACACACGTGCACACGCTCGCGCACACACGTGCCTAGTAGTGACAGCGTTCGCTGGCTACTTCTTGTGAACCGGGAGGCATGCAGCAGGTATTCACGACAGCGCTGAGCGCTGGAAAGGTGCAAAAAGACAAAATGGGCAGGACAAGCCGCACGTCAGAAGTGTGACGCTGGACAGACTTGGTGGCACCATGGCCACGGATGTCAGCCGTCACTCCTGCTGCCTGACGCTGCCCAGAGCCCTTGGACTCCAGGCCAGCTGCTCCTGACCCAGGCTGCATGTGGGCTTCTGCGGTAACGGTGATGTGACACGCTCAGATCCGGAAGTTCAGGTCTGGACCAAGGCATGCGCATACAGGGGGATGACAGCATGAGCGTGGCCAAGAGCTGGCATGACTTCCATGTGACCTGATGGGATCCGTGGGCTCAACAGCCCCGGGCAGCTCCTTGGCCCGCGGACAGAGGAAACCGTACGCACTCTGCCACTTACCACATCCGTCAAACGGTACTCCCCGTGCTGCTCACATCCGATATCAAACACGTACTTTCCAGGGCCGACAGGCTGCGAGCAAAGAGAGACCAAGAGGGGCTTCACACTTAGTGTTCCGTAGGAACCGGAGCACAAAATGCCACGGGGATGTCCGAAAACCAAAAACTGTCCCAAAGGTGGGGAGCGGGACAGCCGATGAGGGTTAAAGGGCTTTTGTGAACTCACGGCCAGTGGAATTGTCAGGTACAGGGCCTGTTTGGTTTCTTATCTAAACTTTAGTTTCATTGTCATAAAAGTAATGTATTTATTACAAAAATTTCATGAAGTCGACACCCACAGGCAAACAAGCTAGAGATAAAAGTGTTAATAATATTGGGACATGGTCTTGGGGTGCCCAGGTGGCTCAGCGGGTTAAGCGACTGACTCCTCATGATTTCGGCTCAGGTTGTGATCTCAGGGTCATGAGATCGAGCCCTGCCTCAGGCTCCGTGCTGGGCGTGGAGCCTGCTTCAGATTCTCTCCCTCTCTCCCTGCCCCTCCCCCTGCTGCTTTCCAATTAAATAAATCTTTAAAAATATATATTGTGATGTAATCTTTACAACCTTATTCCTTATTTCTAGTGCCTAGATTTTTCTAAATAGAAGTTTGACCGTAACTACACCCAGCGATTCATACTCTGCCATTGCTTAGAAACACGGCATAAATGAATTCCCATATTCACAAATGGCCTTCCACAATTCCAGTTGTCAACCTGGTGTTTTCTTTCATTTAAGAATTGTAATCTATTTTACCCATCTACTACTGTTAATATTTGGCGAGCCGACGCTATCCGTTGACAGAGACCGTGGCGGGAGACGTATGCAGAGTCGAATCTAATGTACACTCTTGATATTTTCCTCAGGGAAGTTTTCAGAGGTGGAATTTCTGGTACACACACACAGTGTGTACATATATATTCACAAAATATACAGACACACCTATTTTTTTTATATATTCACCAGAATGAGGCTCTAATGATCTTCCTTCCCACAACAACACTTACGAGCCCTTTGTCTTTAAACCCTTGCTTCTCCTGGGCATCAACATTTTGCTCTATCTTTACATTTTTTGAGTATATAAGTAACAGGACTCATCATTAAGTCACATCTTTAAGTTATAAGTAGGGTTGGATTTTTTCAACATTTTTGACCACTTAAAGTCCCACTGACTAATGCAAATGCTTTATGTATGCATACTAAATGTTACAAACATCCTAACCCCACTGGTCATTTATCTCTTAAACTTTCTTTAAAACATGTTCTAATCAATAAGGGATTGTTTTTAGCAAGCAAAATCTGTTGGGTTTTCCTTTATATTTCTGCTTAGAAAGTCCTCTTTCTTCATTTCAAAGTTAATGAACATTTACCTATTTTTTTTCTGTATGTGGTTTTGTTTACATTTAAACCTGTTCTCCCTTTAGAGTGTGTCTTCACCTCATGCTGGATTTCAAACGGACTTCGTTTTTCTTCGTTTCGTTATCAAGTCGTCCGAGCACCACTCCTCGACTTCTCCCCATCATGTCCTCATTAATTTAAATGATGCCCTTTTCAGGAGCTAATTTGCCGTATGCACTTGCACCTGTCCCTAGACTTTCTAATCTGCTTCATGATCTGTATTTCTCCAACCTGGTAGCGCAGTTGCAATTATCAAAACTTTGAAGTACGTTTTAATAACTTGTCAGCAAGGATAGGAACGGGTAATTCTCTGAGGAAGGTAGTGGAACCAGGAGCAGAAGTGCATAAAGATGCTGGACTTCACTAGGAATCAGGGAAATGCACATTAAAACCACAAGACATTTTTTATCCATCGGAGTTGCAAAAACATTAAAGACTGGTGATATCCAATGTTGGAGAATGTATGACAGAAGATCTCAGAATCTGTTCACCAGAGTGTAAACTGGCACAGCTCTTTCGGGCAGCTGGCGATATCAATCATGATTCAAAACGTCAATATTTGTAGAATCAGCAATGGCCGTGTCTAACCTACATAAATATTCCCAAATGAGCAAAAAGATCGAGGTCTCTGTGCCTATTTTCGTGTCCGGATGTATGTGATCCTATTTTATACAGTAACAGCCCTCATGCTGTATGTACGCGTGCCGAAAGGGCTGGGTGTCTGGGGACATTTCAATTGGAGCGGACAGAGCAGCACTATAAATGTGTTTTCTCTTCCTAATGATTTTCTTTTTTTTTTTTTTTTTAAGATTTTTCTTTATTTATTTGACAGACAAAGATCACAAGTAGGCAGAGCAACAGGCGGAGGGTGGGCGGAGCAGGTTCCCTGCTGAGCAGAGATCCCGATCCTGGGCTCCATCCCAGGACTCTGAGATCATGACCTGAGCTGAAGGCAGAGGCTTTAACCCACTGAGCCACCCAGGCGCCCCCCCTAATGATTTTCTTAATAACATTTCCCTTCCTCCAGCTTACCTTATTATAAGAATACAGTATCTAGTACAGATACAAAGTATGTGGCTGACTTTGTAGTGAGGATATAGTGTATAACCCCTGAAACATAGGAATGTGTGTTAATGACTGTTTATCTTGTCGGTAAGGCTTCCGGTCCACAGCATGCTCTAACCCTAACCCTAACCCCAACCCTGTGTGGATCTCTGACTGTGCGGGGGCCAGGGATCCGTGCCCCCACCCCTGCATTGTTCAACGGCCCACTGAACTAGTGTGCCATGTGCACAGGTCTCACTAACCAGCAGAACAAAGCTCTCCTTCTCTAGGGGAGTCTAGGTTTGTTGATTTTCCCAATGAACTTTCGTCGAATTCTCATTCCCTCCACATGGCTCCCTGTGCTGAAAAGCATCCCGGGAGAATTTTCCTGAGAATTACATATGCAAATGCATGGATTTGGGGAGAATGTGCTGCTTTACAAAGACTTAAAAGTAGAATCTGTAAGTTAGGGAATGAATTTTATGTCAGTGAAAACTAAGTTTTAAGAGAGTCCAAGGTGGTTTCATGATATTAGTTCAATATTCCCTGCACCCAACTTCCTTCTTTTTAAAGATTTATTTATTTATTCATTTATTTATTTATTTATTTGAGAGAGAGAGGGGGAGAGCAGGGAGAGGGGCAGATGGAGAGGGAGAGAATCTCAAGCAGACTCCCCGCTGAGCACAGAGCCTGCCCTGGGCCTCGATCTCACAACCCTGAGTTCACCGTCTGAGTTGAAGAGTCAGATGTTTAACTAACTGTGCCACCCAGGCGCCTCTCTCTATGTCAACTTCTAATGCCTTTAACTTGCTTTGCAAACTCTTCAGGGGACGTTTCTGGCCACGCTGGCTTGAAGCGTTGGGGGGCGGGGCGAGTAAGCAGGGCATCTCTGTGTCCCAGCGGGGCCCCCACAACCACAGAGCCCTCCAACAGAAAGGACCAATTATGAGCCCTGCGGACTGGCCACACCTTCCCACGGAAGCCCACATCCAGGTTGGGCAGGCTAGCCTGCGGCAAGGAAGAAGCTTCTGGGTCTGCCCTCCCAGTGCTCCAGCCCCGTGCCTCCCAGGGCAAAGGATGTCCGAACACCCACACGCTCACAAGCACAGGAAATGTCTCACGTCTGACCTGCCATGATGAGGAGCACATATGAGAGATGGGACCCTCCCCCCTCCGCTTTATAAGGATGGGCTGGATCCCGGCCCGGGTAGAGTGGGGGTTCACTGAGATGCAGAGAAAAGAACCAGGTGCCCTCCACTCTGCCGTCTGTAGGCATCAGAGACTTGGGGAGAGGCACGGCTGCCCCCTCCCTGTGTTTGGAGGGGTGGGAGGGTTCCCTGAGTTTTTAGTATTCTACATTCACATATTTACGCAGACGGGGGGAGGAGGGCGTGCTTCGTTTCCCACCGACTTACGTTTTTGTTGAAGAACTTGCCCTGGTACCTGTGGTTCAGGTGAATGAGTTCGGCCGCACCTTCTTGCTGTCCGTTCACCCAGGTACCTACGTACTTACTGCCCGTCTCTGCGTAGAAATAGGTGCCTTGCCCGTGCCTGGTGAAGACAGAAAGAACGTGCACTGTCCCTGCACAGTGGAAAGCCTTCCAGGTTTATAGGACAGACATTTAAATTGAGGGTGGCCTATCCTTGGCTTTTCTATCTGTGCCCCATCAAAGCACGCGCCTGCTCTGTGTGCCCATGCATGGGAGGGGCATCGCGTGCTGGACAGCGACACCCTTCCCGCGTATCATTCGGGTCACACGGGAAAGAGGCAGCGCTCCCAGGAGGCTCTGTGGCTCTGTCCCCAGGTGGGTACTTCTGTGGCCTCCTCGCCCCGGGGGCTCTGAATGAAGGACCGCATATTCTCCCGCACATCTGGACCTGCCCAGTCACGTCACATCTGGAGTGCCCACCTTAAAGCCTTGAAGGGTTTGGACTGCCTGGCGGAGCTGGCAAACGGGTTTTTGTCATGACTCCGTCTCATAATAAGGCGTCGTCATGTTCTCGTTACATAAACAAGTGTACAGGACGGAAGAGAGAGCGCAAACCTTTGGTGGGCAAACCACTCCCCAGTGTAGATGTCATTATTGATGTAGTAGTAGACGCCGTAACCGTGCCTTTGGTCATCCGCCCACTCCCCTGGAAGGGACGACACAAAAGTGGGCCCGGTGAGAAGGGAAAGACGGGCTTCACCTGCTGTCTCCTCCCTCTGTGGCCCCCCTCCATCCCCCTGCCCCTCTGGCTGGATGGTGTGGGGGGGCTGGCTAAGGGAAACTGAGTCAGGGGCCTCCTGGACGCAGGTCTGAACAGGTACATACACGTGGGCCACTGTCGCCTGCATGGCCCACAACAGGTATCACCGCTGGTCGGTGGCACAGCAAGGATTCAAACCCGGGATTTGTCCACACGGTTGTCCCTACACCACATCCCTGCTTGCGCAGTTCAGCGGTCCAGCAGCAACACCCAGACTCGGTGACCCCGACTCGGCCTCTCCCAGCGGCTCACTCTCTTTCCCGCCTCATCACCTTGCTCTGACACACCTTCCCAGCCAGGGCACCCGGGGTGCCCCACCTATACACTGGCTCCAAGGGCGTGGACACCGCCGCATGCCCAGCCCCTGCCTCTGCGGGACTCTTCCCTCACTGACTGCCCCTGCCTCCTCCCCCCCACCCCCCCGCCCATGCCGCCTCCTGCGAATCTCCTGCTGCCTTGCTGAGAAATACTGGAACTGGCAAAGACACCATAAAACTCCCAACACCTCTACCGTAATGACAACAGTAAACTAGTTAGGGAATGAGGCCGATCCTAGAAGATAGATCCCCACTCCAGGAGACTTACGACACCCTCCAACCTTACAGCTCACACGGGGAAGAAACTTAAGAGTTTTCTGAGGTTGACCACTCTCCTAAAATGCACGTGGTGTTGCTAATAACAAGTTGTTACCTGGAATGACGCTTTTCTAGAATATGCATAATTTTTAAAAATGAAGTTTCGTCAATTTCTGATCAAAGACAAAAGATAGAATTCCCTATTTTCTCTGTAGAGAGGGATATAATAGAATTGTGGTCAGACAGACATTCCATTATTAGCTAGACAGACAAGGAAAAGGCGTGTGGCAGCCATGTCAGACATGAATTTTTAAACTTCTGTTTGTTAAGTCCTCAGATTTTATAACACTTGTGGCATTATAAATTGTCTTCATTTATTTTGATTTTTTATTACAAATGAACATTCACATGTATGCCAATCTTATGTTCTTTTCCTTAAAGAGAGCCCCCAAGACTTGCATAAGCTTCTGGCTCACAGGAGATCGGGCTTTGCTTCTGCATCAAGAGAAAGAAGACACAGCACGCCAAGGACATGTGGATCGTCCAGGAAATACGTGTTTACACGAGTGAATCCCATGTTCATCGACAGCAACAGATCGACGGAAGGGCACAGCCACACATTTTCTCTACCAGTCCCACAAGGTCTCAAGCACTCTGAGACAGACAAGCAGCAGCTCCAAGAAGAGTGCTGACCTGGGGGAGCCTTTCCCCTGCCCCCCGAGTGCGGGGCAGACCCACAGCTGACAGCCCAGAGAGGAGGCGGCGGGAACCGGCATAAGTGAGGGAAGAGGTGTGACGTGTGTCAGGAACAGCATGAGCAAGGGTGATGGAGAACCCCCACACTGAAATAATTCAGCAAACACTTGGGCTCGAACCTAAAGTCGCCCTGAGGATAGAGAGAGGATGCAGGAGTCCTGGAGGACTCGGCTTTCAAGGAGCCATTGTGTCCTGGTAAATTACCAGTTTAAAAGGAGGAAGAGGAGGAGGAGGAGGAGGAGGAGAAGGGCAGATGTTCAGCAGAGGTGGTTTCTGTGGTGTAAATATTCCCACTGCGGCCAAGGTTGAACTGCGCAAGGGGTTGGGGACAAGTGTCCCAGAGCTGGCTCGTGTGAGCTCTCAGAGCTGAGCAACAGGGCCCCAGGAGGCCAAGACGTCACTTGGTTTCTTCACCAAAAAAGACCACGACAAAACGATTCCATCCTCTTCTCTTGGCCATTACAGCTGGTCTCCAGGGCAGCGTGTCAAGAAAAATGTAGTAAGCACTTCACAGAAAATTTTCAAGAAACAAATTAAATTACAGGGGCACCTGGGTGGCTCAGTCAATTGAGCATCTGACTCTTGATTTGAGCTTGGGTCGTGATCTCAGGGTCTTGGGATGGAGCACCCTGTCCGACAGGCTCCGTGCTTAGTGGGGGTCTGCTTGAGATTCTCTCTCCCTCTCCCTTTGTCTCTTCCCCCATGTTCTGTCTCTCTTGCTAATAAATAAATAAACATACAGGAAGGAAGGAAGGGAGGAAGGAAGAAAGGAAGGAAGGGAGGAAGGAAAGAAGAAAAAAGGGAGGGAGGGAGGAAGGAAAGGGGTGGTTCCTGGGTGGCTCAGTCAGTTAAGCATCTGCCTTCAGCTCAGGTCATGATCCCAGGGTCCTGGGATCAAGTCCTGCATCGGGCTCCCTGCTCAGCAGGGAGTCTGCTTCCCCCTCTCCCTCTGCCCCTCCCCCTGCTTGTGTGTGCGCTCTCTCTCTCTCTCTCTCTCTCAAATAAATAAAATCTTTAAAAAAAAAGAAAAAGAAAATGATTAAATTGCAAAGGCACCAAATTTCAAAGCAGTGCGGAAACTTTTTAAAAGTCCTGGTTTACTGAACAAACAAGGTGTTAGCAATCCTGCCCAGCAGATGGTAAGCGGGTGGCAGGAAATGGTGACATGAGGGAGCTAAGTGAGGGAAAGGTCGCCTCCTGGAGCAGGTCTTTAACACCATGGACCAGGTTTCCCTTTATACACGCGTGCCACTGAGAAGCTGTGTTGCTGTTGCTTTAACCATGCGCTTCGTTGCTCAGCCTTCCTACCCCTAACCCTATACTTTCTCATCATTCTCCATCTCATCACCAGAGTGTCTTCAGCTACATTTCTGTTCAGGAGGAACTCCACGGTTGGCTGGCTGGTGGTCTGTGTTGGTTTTCCTCCAGGAAAACACCGTCCCCTTACAAAGCTCTCCACGTGCGTCCACCCCATCGCCGTCCCCAGGCCTCCCTCGAAGGCTCCCGGGTCCGCAGCTCTGGAGATTAAAGACCATTTAAAGCAAAACACCCTGGGGCAAGTCGGTGGCTCCGTCGTTTCACTGTCTGACTCTTGATTTCAGCTCGGGGTCACGATCTCAGGGTTTTGAGATCAGACCCTGCGTCAGGCTCCACACTGGGTTCGGAGTCTTCTTGGGATTCTCTCTCTCCCTCTCCCTCTGCCCCCTCACCTCTGCTCGTGTGCAAGTGCTTGCGCTCTCTCTGTCTCTCTCAAATAAATAAGCAAATAAATAAATGAAATCTTTTTAAAAATAATATTAAAAAATAAATAAAATGAAATGCCCTTCTAAGAAGCTCTCTGCCCACCTGAGATGCGGGTTAGTCACTGTCTGCCCCGCTGGCTCCCTCCGCTGCTGGGTCCGCAGAACGTGGATGAGACGGGCGCTGACATCGATGGGGCAGCACTCTGGTAGTGGTTCCTGCCGGCTAGGGTCTTTGCATTGGCCACCTCCTTTGGGATGTGTAATAACCAAAACACATTTTTACAGGGACAGCACCCAAAAACCAGAGAGATCATGCACCTTGCCCAAGGCCACACAGCAGGACGGAAACAAAGATCCCGATTTCCGTGGTTCCAACATCGTGCTCTCTTGAGCAAGCAAGGGCCATGCATTCATGTCTTCTTCCAGCTCTGGCCACTGAGAGCATCCATAAAAGCCAACTTCGAGTCATATCATTTTGTCTCTCCACGGTGTCGTGACCAAACATCTTCATCTTTATTGGCTCCTTTCAGCTGGCTACAGGACCGGTCCTGGAGAGGGGTGTTCCCTCTCCTTTCCAAAGCCCTTGTCGACCTTCCGTCTCTGCATCTCACAGTCCATAGAGGTGGTCCGAAAGCCCCTCTAAAGTGGATCCCACTCACCCCCCAACCTCATTCCCCGCTTTTCCACTGCTCGAGTAGCCCCCAAACCAGGAGTGTCCGCTCGTTCCTGGGCTTCCCATCAGGCTCAGTGGGTTGATCAGGAATGTGCCCCCAACCCCGGGCTGAGGCTGAGTACTCTTGATAACCAGCAGAAAACCACTCTGTGTCCCTTAGGGTGGCAGTGGGCCAACACACAGTCTTGAAAAATTCAGCCATGTCTTAACTTAGATTTTAAGACTAGAAGGTTGTTCACTGGCTGAGCTAAAATTAACATTGTAGCTTTTGACCTTGAAGAAGAAATCTCTGAGCAATAACCACACCCTGCACACTTTAACATACAAAGCCACATGGAGACACAAAAACTCATGGCTGTTTGCAAAGAAGGTCTACATGTTGGCTAACCTTCATGTTAAAAACCCCTTCAATCCCTTATTCTGAGTACCTTCTTTACATATTTACATGTCGTTCCACTTGTATTAATGTCTACACTAAAATAAAACATGACAACAATGAAATTAGGTTCATAACAGTCTGGAAGGAATTAAATCAAACTCTAAATTAAATTGTTTCAAGTTGATTTAAAAAGCAGATGGTGTTCCTTCTGCGATAAGCCCTCTAAGAAATAGGAAACAGAGCAGAAATTCCTCTCTAACACGACCAGCGCTGGCAGGCCTCCCCTGGCTCTCGGACTCTGGCAGAACCTCTGGTTCAGAATTCCTTGGTTCCACTTTCATTCAGTGATGAGGGAGGCAGCTCTGGCTCGCGCCGAAGGACATGTCCTCACCGGGAGGCAATGCTGCCAGCGGACACGTACTGAGAGCTTGCCAACCACCAAGCACGTTTCCCCGTGTTCACTCCTCACGCTGCAGACCAGAGAGCTGGGACAGCGAGCATTGAGACTCTCTACACGAGTTCACACCTCTTGTCACCATGGCTCCAGGGGTTGGTTATAGCTCCCCTGTGAAATCTGATGAAAACTGGATATGTTCTTCCCAGGAAAAGTCCAGAACACAGAATCCTGCATAGTTTCTGAAGGCTCACACCCACTCCCCACTTGTCTGTCTTCCCAGGCTCGTCCCTCATTGGGATCAGACCAACATGGTAGTCACACCGGGTAATGACGGTGTGTGGGGGCAGCCGTGGGGTTCTTGGATATAAGGGAACAAGAATTTCCCTCCCACATAACATTGGCAGGTAAGAAATCGTGGCAAGGGGCTCCTGGGTGTCTCAGTGGGTTAAAGCCTCTGCCTTTGGCTCAGGTCATGATCTCAGGGTTCTGGGATCGAGCCCCACATCGGGCTCTCTGCTCGGCAGGGAGCCTGCTTCCCCCTCTCTCTCTGCCTGCCTCTCTGCCTACTTGTGATCTCTGTCTGTCAAATAAATAAATAAAATCTTAAAAAAAAAAAAAAAAAGAAATTGTGGCAGACATAGGAATGCCAACTTAATGAGGCAGCGTGTCTTCCAGACCAGCGGCCTTCAACGAAGGAGCCACCAGGTCTAAAGAAACCACGTGTTCATCAGAAGAGGGACTGGCCAGAAAGAGAAGCAGCAAGTCAACGTCAAGGGGCTGAAAGGACAGAGTATTTGAAGTCAAGGGTCCAGATCCCATGACGCCTGTGCTCCCTCACTGCCTCCCTTGCTTTCGGTACTCAGCACACGGGCTCACAGCTGTGCCGGCCGCAGGGTCAGCAGCCGGTTCGTTCATTACAGGCCTGTCGGGTTTCTGCATCAGCCCTGTGAACCTAGGAGCACAGCTGTGTTTATTGAGTGACTAACTGATCTGGAGGACTCAAATCTCCCTCAGCTCAGCGACCACAAACAAGTTCAATCCCCACACATCAGCTTTACAACGCAACCGTCTGCTTTGTGAGCATGTCTTACCTTCGTATCTTGAGCCATCTGGGTATATGAAAGTGCCGTGACCATGCTTTTTATTTTGAACGTATTCTCCCATGTACCGAGCACCATTTTTAAACTTGTAGACACCCTGAAACACATTGATTATATACAATTCGTATCATTCCTGTGTTCCGGGCTCACCACCAGAATATTAACTGGAGAAATCTAGCCACTGAAGGCACCTGTTCTGACCTGGCCATGTCTTTTCCCGTGTTCGTAGTTCCCTTCATACGTGTCCCCATTGGGCAGTCTTGCTTTCCCATGTCCATGCCGTTCACCTGCCTCATTCCGCTCCCCCTCGTACTCCTGGGCAGAAGAGACAGGGACAATTACAGCTACCGCGTATTAATCACTAAGGATGTGTTAAGCGTTTTCGTAAGTAATATTTCATGGAATCCCTCCCAGTCTTCAGCCCCATCTGACAGGTGAGGTAGGAAACCACACCTGGGCGATGTGGAGCCTTGGTCTAAGGTGATACCGTGGGACCTGTCAAGGGTGGGAGCCTCCCTCGCTCTCTCCAACATCTGAGTTTGCAATTGATCATGATAATCCTTTGCCCTGTGAGCAAAATTGACAAACTGAGGGAAATGCGAGGCGCTCCTAATTGTGTTCTCTGTGGGAACAGGTGTGAAGGAGCAGACGCCGGTGGCATGGCCTCAAGCCACATTAGGAATACCTCCCTGTTCCTTCCTCCAATAATCCAGGGCTCAAAATGCAAAAAGACCACCTCTTCCTCCAAGGATCTCCGGGGCTGCCTGTGGCTTCAGGACCCCTTTCACCATGGGGGCGCCTGCGGGACAGGAAGCCACACAGGGGAGCTAAGGACCAGGGCTCAGCTGTCACAAGCGTCCCTAACTCCACTTAGTTAATCTCGTTATCAAGTTTCAACTCCTCAGCAAGAGACTCGAGTTTCAAACACTCGTAGACTAACACGGAAATAATTATGTAGCTTACAAGTAAATCAATTTAAAAAAAACTAATACGGGTTTGTAATTCACCTATTTTCTCCTACCCTTCAGGAAATAAACATTCCTCAAGCCCCTAACCATGAGTGCAGAGTGAACATATACGTAATAAAAGGGCGAAGGCACAGAGTAACGGTTTGACACGGAGTGGTATCTGCAAAGAGGGCACCACCAGCTCAGACATACAACTAGGACGTGGGGAAAAAACCGTCTGCGGTCTGCCTTTGCCCAGCACTGTCTAGCTCAGAAATCTATGCTCAGAAGGGAAGGTAAACATGTGTGACCTTACCAATTTGTTTCAGGGTTAGTAGAAAACAAAATGTGTAAAAGCTCTCCACCTCGCTCAGAAGACCTCCCAGGGCACCCGACGGGGGGTGACCGAATGGGGGAGGGAGGGAGGCTCTAAAATGACCCCAGCTGTGATTCAAAGCTAAAGTTATGGGCACAAAAGAGTTACAAACCACTAGGGCTACCTGAGGGGACAAGTTCGAAGTCTTACTGGGCAGATGCTGTAGGTTGGGTTCCCCCAGAAACAGACTCTGAGCAAGTGATGTTTTAAAAGCGTCCCCTGAGAATCAACAAAGGGGATGGGGAAACAGACACGAAAGAGGAGGGTGGGTGTGTCAGGAGATGTCCCCACCTGGGCCTCAATGCCCCGGGGATGCTGGAGTGTAAAGCACTGTGGTTTGTCCTCTTTTTAGCACGAGCTGCTGGCTGTCCAGAGAGCATGGATTCCTGGCTTCCGGCCCTCCTACTGGCCGGGTGGCTCCGCGCGTAGAGGGGCTAGTCTTGAGCAGTGACCAGGGCAGAAGCTGGGAGGTGGGCACACCTAGCAAGCAAAAAGTTCTGAGCATCTATCACAGCCGAAGTGGTAGGTTTTTCAGCTAATTCTGAAACTGTCTCCACTCTGTACCCCGAGCACACATGCCGTGGCTGGGGTTCCCACCTGTCAGCCAGGAGACGGTCACCCTGTGCGGTAGAGTGATTAGTCTGGGGACATCCATCTACGCCCACGCAGAGCCCGGCTCCTGCCCGGACGCCGGGCACCCAGCACCGCCTCTCTGCTGCCTGCACCGGGAACGAGTCCAGTGACCTGGGTCAGCTCCCGCAAGACCGAAGAGAGCCCGTGGGATTCCAGGCCTCCAGGGTGGAAGCCTTGCTGAGAGCCCCTCGCATCTCTCAAAGGACCCCGCGAAGCCCTTCCCTCCACCCCCTTGATCCTGAGGCGCAGGCTCCGGGGCAGGACCCAGCGCCCTGCGGGCTCGCCAGGGCGGGGTGACCCGCCGGCTTCGGAGGGCGCCCGGACGGAGACCTGCAGCAGGCCGGGGATGCTCCCAGAGGCTGGGCTGGGAAGTCTTCGCCTTTAACGGGAGGCGGGATGCGGAGGGAGGAGGCGGCGAGAAGGGATGTGGCAAGAGGACGTCAGCGGGGCACCTTCCACCGCCAACGTCCCGGGCGCGGCGCGGCGGTGGCCGGTGCGGTCCCGGTCCCCGGCTGGCCTCCGCGGGGCGCCCGGGAAGCCCCCCGCCCCCGGAGCGCTCACCCCAAGGTCATTCTCTCCCTCCTCCTCCAACTCCTCCGAGCCCAAGTCCGACATGCCCTCGCCCCGGTCTCGGTCCTCGCCGCCACCAGCGCGTCTCCAGCGGGTAGGTCCCCGCCGCCCGCACCGCCGCGTCCGCCGTCGCCATGGAGACGCGGTCCGCCCCGCCTCCCCCCGGCGCGGGCGCTGGGGAGGGGACCGGAGGGGCGGGGCGGAGCCACGGGCCGCGTTCGGGTGCTGTCATAGCAACGGGCAGGGGCGCCCGGGCCTGGCGGGAAGGGGCGGGGCGGGAGGGCGTGGGGCGGAGCCACTGACCGCTTTCGGCGCTGTCATAGCAACGGGAGGGAACCTCGACCAATCGGCGCCCGGGAAGAGGGAGGGGCGGACTAGGGATGGACTCGGCGCCCACCCGCGGTCAAGCGGGGACCCCGCGTGGCTGGCCTGGGCCGCCGGCTGCCGGCTGGTGCTGTCACGAGGGGCCGCCTTTGGACCAGGGCCCTAAAGACGTGGAGGACAGACGACGCACAGGGGCCCGCCCTGGGCAGGGCTTCACCTCTGCCTTCGCTGAGCCCTGCCCCTTCCGACCCGGCCCCTTGGCTTCTTGGGTCCCTCGGTGGGCCCTGCCTGCTCCTCCCCACCTTCTGGGCTCTCCCGACCCTTCGGTGTTGGCGTCCGGAGAGCTCTGTCTGTCGAGAGCTTTTCTCTGACGCAGGGAGTCAGTGTGCGGGCGCGTCCACACTGATGTCCTTAAGAGTTTGACATCCCTTCTCCACCCCGAGCCTGAGTCCAGTCCCCTCGCTACCCCAAGGAAGAAAGGACTTCAAGTCCATGTATCATCTACCGCCTGTCGTCCGTCCACCTGTCTGTCCTCCGTCTAGCTCTCAGCCCCCACAGCACCGAGAAAAGTGTTTTTCCCCCAGCAGACGCTCAGCCAAGCCACTGAAATCCAGTCCACGGGGCCGTTAGATTCCCGGTGAGATGGAAATAGGGTCGAGGTCTTTCTTCATCAGTGGTACTTAACAGAATCTCTATTTTGTATGTGTGAATAGACAAAGACCACCCAAATGAACAAGCAAAGACCATGTATTCGGAGCTTACCCTGGCGAGGAAGTCAGCCACCATCACTTGCATTTGGACGGAGGTCATGGGCAGGCAAAGGGAAGGCAAAGCTTACATTGGAAAAGAGCGAGGTCTCCAGGTACGCCCCGACTCGAGGCTGTTAGCCCAGGGAAGCTGTGGGTGGTTAACTAGAAGTGGGCCATCCCACGTGACTGGTTAGCAATGCATATTGAACTTTCTCTGGTTGGTCCGAAGCTGGAAATGGGGACAAAGATGACAAAATTGCTCAGTTATTGATCAAGTCCTGGCCACTGGTTACAGGGGTTAGTGTTTGCCCCTAGATCACTTGGAGGAGTTAGAAGACTGACTTCCTGCAAGTCCGACTTCACAGCACCCTGGCTTCCTGGACTGGTTGCTATAGATAATGGGTTGGTTTCCTGGGCTGTAGCTTGTGGCTCAGAATTCTGTTTTTCTGTATGCTTTGGCCTTTGTACATTTGCATATCCGATTTCTAATGAGTTTTTGCAAATGACACAAGTAGCTGTCATCTCAAATCTAAATATTGTTGGTTTTTTTGGAGTTTTGATAGCTTGAACAATAACAATAACCCAATCATTTTATTTCTTCAAACCTAATATTTAAGTATTTAAAAATTGATCTAAATGGAAGGGAAACAGGTCTTAAAGTCATCATTGTTCTCGGTGAAGACAGGACTCTCCTAGAGCCAGAATGTTTGAGTTCTAATTCTGGGTTCCCATGGCTTTGGTGACCTCAGGTAATTCACCCGCCCCCTGAACCTCGGATTCCTATTTTGTAAACTGGGGAAGATAAGCCCTTCCGATCTCAAGGAGCTGTCATGGGGATCGAAAATAATATTGTATTAATGTAGTTATTTATTATGAAAGCTACCTAATGTAAACAGTAAAACTATTATAAAGAAATCACGTATCATTCAAAGAAAGTTCCCCTCACACCCGCACCAAGGTGTGTTGTTTGTTGTTGCTGTGAGGGTAGGGGGAGGGGTGGCTGAGGAAATAGTTTGATCCTGCCGACAGCCGACAGCCTCACAGAGTACCAAACCCGTGAGGGGAAGCATCCACGGAACTCCCACATCACACGGGCTTTCCAGCCTGTCCCTTAGAAACAATGACATAATGAAAGGTAGTGATCTTAACCTAATGTCAGTCCCAAACACTTCACTTACTGAAAGAAGAGACGATTAACAAGCAAATTAACACCCAAGACCCTACAGTTAGCGCTATTTGTTCATTGCAAAGGAAGAAGATTATAAACACCCAAATTTAACAGTTTTTCTTGTGGGGAAAAGCCAGGTGTTTGGGGAATGGACGGTCATGGTCGCCTTGATACTTGGCAGTTGCCACATTTAGTACAATTAAGCATGTCTTTTTATAAGAAAATGTCAAAAATATTTTAAATGCTAGAAATCCAGAGTGGCAATTGGTCACTCAAATACATGTTAGCGTTTTTGCAAGTGAAAATGAAGGTCAGAAATTCCACTTTCGGACTTGCTCTAACGATGACCGTGATCGAAGTCTGCTAGGTGTCCAGCTCCGCTCTGGCTGTTTTATGTGAATTGTCCTGTTAAGTCCTCGCTGTCGACCCCTCAGCACCTGGCCAAGGAAAGGAAGGGCTGGGAGGTAGCATCTTCGCTCCAGGGCGAAGAGCCAGAGGGATTCAAAGCCATTGCTGCCCCTCACTGCTCTCCATGGCCTCCCAGATCTCTGGTTTAAAGGAGTAACTGGTGTTCTGGGACTGCCCCGAAACCATCTCCCAGGCAGAGAGGCGTGGTTCCGTGAGCTTAGACTGAAGAACCCAAAGCGGCTTAAGCCCCTGTTCAAGGATCCCATCACAGGGAGCAACTGGGCACCAGCCGGCCGTGCAGCTCCTGAGTCCTGGAGCTTACGACGCCACTGACCTCTGGTGCGGACGAGTCAGTTACCGCCTCATCGTTCAGTCCACGGCAGTGTCACCCCGCCCCCCATCGTCAGTCCACGGCAGTGTCA